GGATATATCAACAAAGTTGAAATGGTAAATTGGCCACCGTAATGATTACAAAGCTGATGTTTCGAGCGTTAGCCCTTCGTCGGAGCGAATGCAAAGGGCTAACGCTTGAAACGTCAGCTTTTGTAATCGTTACGGTGGCCAATTTACCATTTCAACTTTGTTGATATATCCAAATTATTTCGTTACCCCCACCGACACAGCCCCTAACAGTTTCTCTAGAAACTATCAGTCTTTATTCATTTAAATATCTTTTTAACTTGTTTAACTCATTAACTTCATTTTAAAGTACTGTAATAACCCTCTTTTTTTTGTATTAGGAAGCTTGTTTTTATAAAGTTAGGTTGACAGTATTATTATGCAACCATAGTATTGCACAGATAAAAAAACATCCTCTACTTCTTTATTCTAAATGCAGCAGTCATGCCCATCCAAGAGTGAGGGCTGAGAAGAAAATGTCAGTTCGAGAACAGGATTATCAGGTAGGGTGAAATTGATTTTTGTCATTTTGCTCGCATTGTTAAATATCGGAACTGTTATTTTTTTGGATTGGTTACTTTTCCCCTTTAAATAGTTCTCTCAAACCCTTTACACTGTAACATCTGTCCAGTACACAGTACACTCTTCTCATACATTTCATTAGGTACTGACAGGGTGGGTTGGATTGATAATCAAAAGCTCCTTATGTTGGTGATCATTATTTTTCTTAATTCTCCTGATCTTAATGGATGACTTGGCAGATGCAGATCACCCTTGGGGTTCAAAGGATTAGATTAATAACAAATTTAATCTTTTTCTTCAGTCTCTCTCTCAATCCTGAAACCCTTGAGTGGGTAATTAATAACAGCAAGTTACCTCTCATGAGAAGCAATAAATAAAGGGAACCCTTAGTCAGATTACACCCACAGTCAAGAGGTTCTACATAGTTGGTGATCATTTCCTTTATTCTCCTGACCTTAATGCGTGATTCAGGGGTGATATTGTAAGTAGAAATAAGATACTAGTTGCTCTAAGGGGATAAAAGTAGTCATCTGTTGTTTTCTTAGATACAAATTCGGATTCTTGAGGGAAGGCAACTGGCAGGTACCCAGATTGATCCTGTCTGTACTGTGAATGTTGGCAATCAAAAAAAGAGTACAACAATAAAAGAACAGACCAACTGCCCCTTTTGGGATGAGGTGAGATAAATTCTTTGCGTTAGGTAATTATAGCAGCAAGATATGATAATCAGCTGTCAGTAATTGCTTCAATGTGTTTCCTTCTAGTTTTGACTTATTCTACTTGTTATTTTTTCTCTCAGTTTTTCGTCTTTGATTTCAAGATGCCTCCCATGGTTTTGTTTGACAAGATAATCAACTTCCAGGTAAATAACAATTCTCTGCTTATCACGGTGACCATAACATTAATTTTTTTGCCACATTTATTACAATGATGGTGACACAAACATCTACAAATTATAATTAATGCTATAATTGTAGCTGGTGTGCCAGACCACTCAGCCCCAGCAAAACAAACAGACAGCCCAGATTATTTAATTAACAGTTGACAATAACTGTTGGACAGATCTGAAGAGGAAATAATTTCCTTGCTTTGGTATGATCGTAAATGATTATGTGAAAATTTCTTGATGTTTCCCATTATGATAGTAATCAAGATGCCAGAGAGCAGTATGTCGCTTGATGATTGTATCTTATATCAATATTAAAATGCTTTTGCTAATTTAGTTTTCACAGTTTTTTTTTTTTTTTTTAAATTTTAATTTTTTACATTTTTTGCTTGTTTCTGTTTGAAGGTTTTCACTGGAAGGCATTTGGTCAGTCAGGGTAACCTGATTGGGGGATTTAAGGTAAGATTGTAATTATTATAAATAAATTGTAAATAAATTATAAATAAATCTTATGGTCAGGGAGATAGATATTAATCATTACAGTTAGAGATACAAAGCAACAATATGTGAAAGTAAGACTGTTTAAAACTTTTGTTTGAAAGGAATCAACTGAAAGCCTTATTTTTTTAGTGTCTATTTGTGTAACCCTAATAACCTGTGGTTTTGTTCCTAACTGTAAAAAATGACAGCATTTGTTGTAATATCTTTGTCTCCTTAAGACTAGTTCACATAGTTATGCAATTTTTTTGTTATTGATTCTCTTGAAATGAAGTTTGAACTGAAGATTTTACCAAACCTGAACTAAAAAAAAAATCTGATTTCAGTGTACACTTTTTTTCAAGTTTATTTTATTTGAATTTAGACCACTTCAGATCTGTAGAAGCTATTGACACAGTCTGCATATCTTTTTTGCTTGATTAGCTGGATATAGGAACTGTTTATGCTCAACCAGATCACAGATTCTGCCGCAGATGGGCAGTGTTGACAGATCCTGATGAAACACTGGGGGCTTCTGGTGCAGGTATCAAGGTGAGAGAATGGACTGCTTGCATTAGTCATCTGTGGCTATTCTCGAAGAGAACACAGTCAAGCTATTCTTGACAAATTCTTTTTAATTATTAATCATTACTGTAACACTTCCATTTATCAGGGTTATCTTAAGGTGGACATCACTGTGCTTGGCAAAGGTGATCCTGCGAAGGTATGCCATGTTTTCAAACATTCTTTGCAAGTGTTTGTGGATCTGGGAAATTTAAGCTTTTTTCTAAACTTGATCTTCATTCTTTAGCTATCCTATATCCCTCTGCCTTCAAGCCCAGTTGTCAGTTTAAAGAAATTGTGATGCGTTTTGACATTCTAGCCCAATAGCCTTGAAAACTGAATCGAAAAAACTTTCCACTTTTTGTAGGAGCCTCCAGGTATAAAGGACAGTGATGACGATATCGAAGGGTATGGCATTGTTTCTACAGTACTATAATTTTATTAAATAAATATTTATTTGATATTTACTTAAGCAATTTGTAGTGGTGTCTTTCTTTAATAGAGTTACATGGTGCAAATTTAATTTGAATTATAAATAAGCATCAAACGGAACATTTTTTGTGTTCTCAGGAATCTTCTACTGCCTGAAGGAGTTCCTGCAGAAAGACCAAAAGCTAGGATCATAGTGAAAATTTACAGAGCTGAAGGATTGCCAAAGAGTAAGGGCCTTAAAGTTAATGACGATCCTATGATTTCAAAGATCCTGAAACTATGGCCTCTTGATTATCCGGAGAATTTTGGTGTTACAAGACAATCTCTCCTGTTGAGAGCTTTCCATTGCAGACTAAGAAAATTGTCAAGAGAATGAACAAATGTTTTCTGAATTTTTGTTTTATTTATTTTTTTCAGTGAATAGTGGTCTCATGGCCAATGTCAAGAAAGCATTCACAGGAGAAGTAAGAAAGCAGCAGTGCAATTTTATTTCATGATTGAAGCTCGAGTTACTCAAGAAGTGAATTGAAATCTGCCGAACTCTCGGCCCATCAAGCTGGTGCTTAACTGCGGTTTCTGTAGCATGAAGTGACTAGGAGTATTTCTACTCCCCCCTGGATGGGATGCTAGTCCATCGCTGGGTTACTCCCAGCATTAAATTTGTCGGTACCCATTTATACACCTGGGTGAAGAGAGGCACTGTGAGAGTAAAGTGTCTTGCCTAAGAACACAATGCAATGTCCTGAGCAGGACTCCAGCCCGGACCACTTGATCCGGAGTTGAGCTTACTAACCATGAGGCCACCATGCCTCCCACAAAGTTTACTAGCTTACATTTTAGTGTCTTTTATGTGGGCTTTGCTAATAAGTATGTTATCACATTTATCTGCTTTCTGATGTCATCAGTAGGAAATTTAAGGCTAGCATTCATTTAACAAAGTTGAGTTTGATTTCCTGATAGGTACGAGACCTTGTGGACCCATATGTGGAAGTCTGTTTTGCAGGACACAAAGTGAGTTTTGCTTGAGATATAATTTCCAAACACAATTCACCACTTGGCTAATTTTGATGGATTGGCCACCGTAATGATTACAAAAGCTGACGTTTCGAGCGTTAGCCCTTGGTCGGAGCGAATAGAGGAATTGTGGGTTGTGTGTGCTTTTAAAGGCAGAAAATGGAGCTACGTTATTGGTGGGTGCATGGCAACGAGAAAAACTTGAATAAATTAGTGGAATGAAAAGTGTTCATTGATCCCTGTGGGATTTAGACTGCCGGTTTGAAATATGAGCTTTTGTTCAAGATTTTTACGGCTTTCCGTGCTACCTAAGTGCAAGGAAAGACCGCAGATTGCCATATGTTGCTTAGAATGAATAGGTAAATTAAAATGTCTAGCGACTGGTTTCGATGTGTCCTTGTCATTCCTTTCCACGTCTTGAAGGTGTTCTTGGAATCGGTCACCTAGTCTGCTGCCTGTTTCGCCGATGTAGATCTTTTTGCAATAAGTGCAAGTTATGCAATAGATTACATTAGCGGAGGTGCACGTGAAGTGATCGGTGATCTTAATGGATTGTTTAGGTCCCGATATTTTATCAGTGTTGTGAATGAAAGGACACGTTTTGCATCGTGCACGAGCGCATTTAAAAGTGCCTTGTTGCTCATTAGTCTGAAAAGAACTTCTGACCAAAAAATTGCCTAAGTTTTTGTCGCGTTTGAATGAAATGAGCGGAGGCTGCGAAAAGATAGTGCTTGTCTCTGGATCGTTTTGAAGTAATTTAAAGTTTTTAAGAATGATGGATTTAACTGAGTGGTTGTGAGGGTGAAACGTGAGAGTGAATGGAATGCGGTCGGAATCTTCCTTATGCGACATTTGTAGTGCTGAATGTCGATCAATAAGTTGAGCGTGGTGGTAACCCGCTTGAACGACGGAAACAGGGTAACCACGTTTATCGAAGAACTGGCACATTGAATCTGATTTGTGGTGAAAATCAGAGTCATTACTACATAAACGACGAAGTCTTAGAAACTGAGAAAAAGGAATGGAATTCTTAACGTGAGATGGATGAGAAGACGAATTTAACAAGTAATTATGCGAGTCTGTTGGTTTGTAATACACACTAGTGCATAAACCGTTACCTTTAATTGAAACTTTGACGTCTAAAAAGGATAAAGAATTGTCAGAAATTTCCCAAGTATATTTCAGAGCCGGGTGAAAAGAATCCACAGGGATCAGTGAACGCTTTTCATTCCACTAATTTATTCATGTTTTTCTCGTTGCCATGCACCCACCAATAACGTAGCTCCATTTTCTGCCTTTAAAAGCACACACAACCCACAATTCCTCTATTCGCTCCGATGAAGGGCTAACGTTCGAAACGTCAGCTTTTGTAATCATTACGGTGGCCAATTTACCATTTCAACTTTGTTGATATATCCAAATTATTTCGTTACTCCCACCGACCCAGCCCCAAACAGTTTCTTTCGAAACTATCAACCTTAATTTTGATGGAAACAAATTCATGCAAATGTGTTTTTCGCCTTTTATTTTGCAGGCCAGAACAACTGTTAAGAAGAACACGTATGAACCAAAATGGAATGAACAGATTGTTTTCTCTGAGTTGGTATGTTTTTATGATGTTTGGCACTCTTCAGGTCTTTTGTTTAAATATGCAATGTGGCTTTAATTTGTTTGTTATTAAGCATATACTGATGGAACCAATTTTATTTACAGTTTCCTCCACTTTGCAGAAGAATGAAGGTTCAACTAAAGGACAGGTAACTGTCTATCTGTTTATCTGTCAGCTTGTCTGTCTGCTGTTATGTCCTATGGTAATCGTCAGTTAGTCTCTCCTTTGGTTGGTCTGTTGGTGGGTCGGTCTGTCATTTGGTTGGTCTGTTGGTGGGTCAGTCTGTCATTTGGTTGGTCTGTTGGTGGGTCGGTCTGTCCTTTGGTTGGTCTGTTGGTGGGTCGGTCTGTCCTTTGGTTAGTCTGTTGGTGGGTTGGTCTGTCCTTTGGTCGGTCTGTTGGTGGGTCGGTCTGTCCTTTGGTTGGTCTGTTGGTGGGTCAGTCTGTCCTATGGTTGGTGGGTCGGTTTGTCCTTTGGTTGGTCTGTTGGTGGGTCGGTCTGTCCTTTGGTTGGTCTGTTGGTCCATAATGGTTGATCTGTCCTTAGGTTAGCCTGTTGTTTGGTTTTTCTATTGTTCAGTCAGATGGTTGGTCGGTCATTATTTTGATTAATTAGTGGGTCTGTCAGTCATTTGGATAATCGATTGGTTGGTTTAAGTCTTTCAACTTTCAATTGATAATTATCGATTGGCTGGCTGCTTGTTTTTGTCTTCATACACCCCTTTAAAAAAAAAAAGACAAAGGTGGCTGAAATACAAGTAGAATATCAAATGAATGGAAATGAATATTTATGAAGTTTGATCCTTCTTCCTTTTTATTCAGTGATTCTGTTTCTGATGAGGTGATTGGCACACATTTCATCGACCTGTCCAGGATATCTAATGATGGTGCTAATGGTATGAACCAATTGCTTGTAGCAGTTTCATTTCATGTATCTTATTGTTTTGTGTTAATGTTGTATTTGTGTGACTGGCAGGGTTCGTACGCGTCTTGAAAACCCTTGAAAACCCTTGAATTTCAGGAGGCTGATTTCAAGGCCTTGAAAGTACTTGAATTTCGTTTTGGGTCCTTGAAAGTCCTTGATTTTTTATTGAACAACATCGAAAAATATAGATGCTAACAGAAACATTTTTCTTGGTTTTGAGGTAAAATTGTCATTTCAAAAAGTCCTTGAAACTTCTAAGTAGGGTCCTGGAAAGTCCTTGAAAAGTCCTTGAATCGTTGGCCTGAAAAAGTGTACGAACCCTGGACTGGACAAAGGCATCAGAAAGACTCTTTTTGCATCTGACCCAGTGGCGTTTGTATAACATTCAAAATATTCCCTTGTTTAATTAAAATCTGGGTGAATTTCAACCTATCTAACCTCACTGTAAGTTCCTCAATGACTTATAAAAGTGATTTCATTTAAGTTAGGAAATTTCTTTTTGATGTCTTTGTCATTTTTTTAACCCATTCTCATTCAGGCTGTAAAAATGTGTCTTAAAAAGTGTTAATTTTTAGCATGATTTCTCTCTGATCAAAACATATTTTTCAATAATCAGAGATGGTATTCAGGGATAATTTTCTTCAAATTTTTGAATCACTGAAGCATCATTTTTATTTTTTGTGCAAAAAGTTGGTTAGAAATCGTCAAGTTATCATTTATGATAATTACAACTGATTCAAAGTAAAATCAGAAAAAAATTTGATCAGTTGGTATTGGAGGTACTAAATTTTCACTTCAATGCTGGGCCAGAATGGGTTAAAATCAGTATAGTCTATTTTGATAGGGGAAGTATGCTACAGAAACTCTTGAGAAATATTAATTTTACCTCAACCATTTGAAAGTGTATGATGAATGTACTTTTGCATGGTAGAGGGAAAAAGTGCATCTTTTCTGGAACATACTTCTCCCTTGAACCTGTTTGTACTTAGTCTGATTTTATTTGATGTGTATTACACTTTACATTTGGACCTCTGTGCATGGTTACTGTTAGTAATACATCTAACACTTTCTCGTGCTCATACCTAACTTAATGCTATGCATTAATGTAAAGTTTGAGAATTAAATATCCATACATCCCATTCAGTAATTAAAATTGTGTCAGAGTAAAAAATTCTTAATATCTGCTCTTATTATTTATTTCTCTTTGCTTCAATGACCAGTTTAGTTTTCTTTGCCTGTTTCTTATTTGTCGCGGATTTTTGGGTTAATGTTTTTCCATGGCATCTCACTGCTGAAAACTCTGGTGTTTTTTTGTGCAGCTTTACGTTCTTGTTGTCTTTTATTTGACTAATCTTTGCTGCCATTTTATTACAACTGATAACACTGGTCTTGCATCTCTGAACTCTTCATTTGCCTCTCTTTAATGCCAATGAAACAGAGCCATGGAACTTTGTCTTTGAGTACTTATTTTAATATACCCTAAACTCTTCAGAAAGGTCAGCCAGTTCTAGTACTCTTGTTTGTTTACTAGTGGTTTTCTACTTGTTTTATTTGCTGCACAGCACAATCAGTGCTCATTTACCTTCAATCTGTATTTTGTTGTATGTTTTTAAAACTTTAAGTGAGAAGTTTAACTATATAATTATGTTTTGATGAAATTAATTGTATTTATGATCAACTAACAAAAAGTGAAATTTAAAAGAAAATTAAAATAAAAATAAAAAGAGAGCCATTATGATATTATTACTTTTTAAACTCAAACTGCATGTTTGTCTTGTAAACTGCCCTTTATGGGGAGATAGCTCACATTTTTAGCTTTGCACAAGAACATTTCACCACCTCTTTTGTCATATTAAATTTTATTCAAGTTAGCATGGCTATATATCGACTGACACATTCAACAAGAACACTTCGCTGAAAATTTTGCCACCTTTTTGGCATTGTAGATGTGCATTCAAGCTGTAAATTCACATGACACATTGTATATACTTGTAACTCAAAATAAATCATGTCTTATTCAAATTGTTATATAATTTATGAATGTATAGCACAGATGAAACTTGCAAGACTTGCTTAAAAAAGCAATTTGAAACCACATTTAGTACTCCATTTACGTGCACTGAAACATGAGATTTTTTTACATTGCTTTTACTGGCTATAGTTAGTCTGTGTATTGTAAAAAGCACTGGATCAGATATTCTGTAGCACAAAAGAAATGTTGTTTGAATAAATATGACATTTGAGGTAGTGAAATGTTTAGTAAAGACTAACTAAATGCAAAATTTGTATTCTGACCAAGGAAGATGTTTTAAAGAAAAATTTTTTTCTTTTTGCCAACATTCTTTTTTTCTTTTCTTTTCCCAACATGTTTGTTTTACATTTTACCCAAAAAGGTTGCGATGAATTGATAATTGTTTTCCTTGAGTGGTTTTTATTTTGAATGTGAAGTGTGATGGTACCCTATTCATAACTGCCATTTAACCAGCAACAATTTATACTAATATAAACAGAGAAATGTAAGTCTTTTGCAACAAAAGGTTAGAAATTTAAAGTGCACATGTCCAAAGTTGTCATGTCATGAAATCCCAGCCATAAAAATGCATGCTGTAATGGTTGTTAGACTGATTCCTCTCACAGTTTTGCTCAGTGTAGCTTTTCCAACTATCTCCTTCGCGGCTGTTAGTGAGATGATTGGGCGTGTCTGTGTATGCATGTGAGTCCCTCTCTGCATGTCTAACTTAAGCTGGCTGACTATACAGGGTGGCTATCAGAGGTCTATATTCCAGGCTCAGGCATAAAAGTTCCTGGCTCAATTCAGGCTCCTGGTGTGTATATATGCTGCTGCCTGGCTTCTCTAGTTCGTAAATCTATCCTTAGTTATTCCTACGTACGTGTGTGTAACTGCACTTAAAAGTAGTTCAACTTGGAAGACATCTATCCTGAACTTTTACATCCTTTACTATCCCTACGCTCCTGTGACTGTGTAAGTGCACTTAAAAATAACACAACGTGAAAGAAATCCACCCTAAACTTCTGCATGTGTATCATGTAAATTGTAGATTTTATGCCAAATTCTAAAGAATCTATGGCTGCATGTAACGTGCACCAACCGATTCAATGTTTTAATATTCTCCTCAATACTTACTAAATACTGGAGTTAAAATATAGTTTCACCCGTAAGTTTTCTTCAAAATTTTTCTACCTTTTTTCCTTGAATGCACTTATGATGAAACTTTGGTACCAGATTTAAATATTGTCATAGACCCTGGACAATGGCTATACTTTGAATCCTTTTTAATATTCTTTCACAGAGTTTATAAGCACCATTATTGCTTTAAGAATCAAATCATTTAAACTGTAAAAGATTTATGCACCTGTTGATAATTCCCTCGCCACTGATGAACAGTCACTTATAAAGTTGCTTGCACACTTTCCTCGAAACTGGTCTCCTAGCTCTCTTCCTACTTCCATCTAACCTCTTCCTTCTACATCTGGGGCTTGTGCTTTTCCTTCAAATTTTTCTCAGCTTCTGTGAAGAGTCAAAACGTTCTGAAGAGTCAATTTTGTTGGTATTCCTTTTTTCCTCATACGTCTCTTGTAACAAGTTATACTAACTGGTCTAAAAAAGGTATTAACTTATCTGACTGAAAACAAAAAAAAACTGTTTGATTAAGCAGTAAAGGCTGAGATAGCAGGCGACAAGTCTTTTTGAGGGAACAAGGTTGCGCAACGCAACAATTTGCTTCTTGTGAGATGAAGAATTCGCTCTGAAAAGACTTATTCATGGGACAAAATTTTGCTGCTGTGGTCTTTTGCACAAAATCAAAGCAGTCTAAATTTATGTGAACAATCACAAGGAAACAATCTGTTGCAGAGGCAAAGAATCTCACCAAAACAAACCCTGTCACCCAAAGGGAATTGTTGCAGTGACTTGTTCTTCATCCTATCAAGTTGTCTTAGATAGCTGTCCCTCAGACTTGTCGCCAATATTGTCCAGACCTTAACCAAAAGTGATTTAGTTTCTCTGTTTATAAAATCCAGTCCCAGGTGAGAATGAAGGGGTGGCTCTGTTTTATTCAGTTGAAAGTGTGCCTGCAGCTTTACCGCAAGGAAGTGAACCAATGGAATGGATCCATTGTATGTTAGTTGCATGGGCCTGTGCAGCGTCTTTGCAATCACTAGATTCCCAGAATGTTAATTCGTAAAACAAGCCTCCGCTGGTAGGACAGGGTGTCGTTAAACTTATGAAACTGTCTTGAAACATAAAGTATTGGTGAAACAAATGGGAATCAAAACCAAAATGGTTTTAAAACGGGAAACAAATACAAGCGATACCGGCCTTTTGATCTCCTGGTAGGTGAAATTTTAGATTGGATGAGATTGTATTGCAGGCTAGTGGTGCCAGTGGTATCCTCAAACAATAGCTTTTATTGGTAGGATTGATAAGGGGACCATGGAGATGAAAGTGTTGACCAGAAAGCTTCTCACAAACCAACGAATTCCAGTTTCAAAATAGCCAATATCTGTTTGAATTTTTTCTTGCACCAAATACAGCATTCCAATGTATACCAACGGGGTTTAGCTTTAGAGATCAGTTTTCTTAATTTCACGACATATTGTTTCATCAGTGGAGGTTCCCTTTAAAATACCTGGTACAAACCAGGAAACCCAGCTGGAATCCTTGTCAGTTGTTTACTCGTTGCAGTTTTGAGGAATTACAACAGCTGTTACGGAAGTGATTGTAAAGAATATTTTCGCGAAAAAAATTTGATGAAAAAGTTAATGTTGCCGTGGTGTTACAACTGAAATTTCTGGCTATAAAATTGAATTAAAGGTTTCTCTCAAAACTGTAATGTAGGAGACAATAACTTGATTTAATATTGAGATTGGACTTAATTTGTTTATATGATTCATGCCAATGTTTGAAGTTTAAATTCGAGCTTGAACTGGGTCATTTCAACTTGTTTTGGTGCAGTGGTGTAGGAATTTGAAGCAGAGAGGCTGTAAATTGGCTAGAGTTTGTTTTGAAGATGCTTATAGATTATGTATGTTAATGCCTATAAAACATCATAACATAGAAGTGTAATTTTTTTTATTTCCTGGTTCAAGCTTGAATTTTTGTTGACTTAAATGATTTTGCTAAATGTATCTTGTCCATTTTTTTTTTTTTGTGTGTGGAATTTTTGTGTATTTGCTGGTGGTCACTATTCAACATGTCGGGGTGACATCGGCCTGTGAAGTTCATAAATATCCGGCTGATATTGGTAAATATTTTACTTATGTTCAATCTAACTAATGCCTATCGGTGCCTGCCATTATGTTCCTTCAGCAGTCTTTAAAAAGTCGGGTTTTTGCTTAAACCTTTTTTCGGTCAAAACAAACCAGTAACTGTGTGTCATCAAGATGTTACTACCCTCTAACCATTATCTGCAGTTTTTTTTTATTGTCATGTGAATGGGAGAGTAGATAGAAGAAATGGTTTTTGAAGCCGTCATATGAAGGAACACAATGGCAGGTAGAACAGAGAGATAATTTCCTTTGTTAATACAAAACTGAAATATTTACTCCCTTGTCACTCTCACTAATTGTACCATTATGTTAATAATTGTTGGTTTGGAAGTCAAGCATTCTTTAGCACACTAACGCATTTCACATCCTCACCCCGTTATTTATTCTGCAACACATTGGAAAGGGATGAACCACTCACAAACCCGGGAGTGACTGGAAAGGAATTTCTCCTTACATTATCAAGACATTTTCAAGTGAAAGGGAAAAAGAAAAATTTAGACTAGGGAATAGTGTTTAATCCAACACCAAATTCTCAAAATTATACTGATAAGTGCTGTTTGGTATAAATTTTTAGGAATTGATCTTAATATCGTGAATACTTAAGAGTAAATTTTAAATGATCAGGCAATCGACCTTCTTGCGACTATTATGGAAATTCTTTCCTTTAAACACGAAGGCGCGCTATAAAATGAGCCTTAGGTCGCACTGGACCATTTGTCAATCACCGTCGTGTGATGTAGAACTCTTAGAGTCAAGTCAGCTTGAGCTACAGCTACTCCAAAGCAGTGAACGGCGGGCGCATTCCTCAAAATTGTTTTATGTCTTCGTCACCATACAAGAATTTTTGCAATTTGTATTTCCTTTTTCCAATGGAAACTGTCTTTATTTGTGGCGGTAAATTTGAGATCGAAGTAGGTGGTTCGCTCGTTACCTCATGCCACCATGCTGGTGGAAGTAAACAATAGATATCTCATTAGCTCCTTTTGTTCGTCTACCAGCATTTAAATCTGACCCGTACACGTCAAGGGTGAGTGACAAATGAGCCTAGGTCTTCCCAGGGAAGACTTCCTTATATAGCGCGCCTTCGTGTTTAAAATGATGGCCAATCCGAAACATGCAAGGTGACTTGAGTCCTTATATGTTCTGGGAGAATATAATTTTCAAAACAATGCTCGTGGAATTTAACAAGCTGTTACATCACAACATTCATTTAAAGATCTTTCGTATTTCATCTTTCTAGATCACTTGGTAATCCTAGAACATTCTTCATTTTCGTAAACTCATTTAGTACATTTTTGTACGTCTGATAATTCTGTTGTTAATAGACTAATGCATGTTGGGGTTCTGCCAGGAGAAGGGTTCACTGCTCTACGACTCCTTTACTAAATGCTCCATGCTACACAACATATATATTTTTTTCACAAATTATGCACTTTGAGTGAATGTAGTTAATGAGGATTTTAAAACTGGCTGGTAGAATGAAATCGCCGTTCCCTTAAACATTGCTCCGCAGTGTTATAGCTGGTTTAGCAGAATGACTTAGCTTTTGGGAAGGAGTTCAACATGCATGAAAAGTAAATAACCAAAGTATCATGTGTGTGTGTGTGTGTGTGTGTGTGATTTTTGTGGTTGGTTTTTATTACCATGAATATTGTCGTAAGTCATGGTCGTGTAAGCCATCGGTGTGGTATTTAAAGTCAGCTTAAGCAAAGGTTTAGTAAAAAATTTCAAATATTTTTAGAGGGGGGTTGTCACAAAAAATAAGTGGTCTCTTTCATTATTAACTTTATGATACTGAAATTGTGAACTTTTGAGTCTCTGAAGAGGTGGATTATCTTAGACAGTCTTTCATTCATTTCTAAGGAGGGTAAATTTGCGGATTTTTCCCCTTTCGCTGCTTGAACCACCACACAACAAGCTGTAAATCTGACCTTAAGGAGATCTCTACTCTTCAGGAATCAGTGGTTCAATTTCATGTAGCTAGTGGTTTGTTAATTTTTAAATACACACTTATTAGATTCTGTTGTTAAGGTGTTCTGACTAACAAATGCTCACAGGTTTTATGCCCACATTTGGTCCCTGCTGGGTGAACCTTTATGGGTCTACAAGGGATTACTCGCTATTTGACGAACACAACGATCTAAACAATGGACTGGTAGGTCATTCAAGCGTACACTGTAAGATTGATAAAAAAAGGTGTAGTGTTTGATAGTGTTTCTTGGTGATGAAAGGTTACCTGTCTACGAAAGTTCCAGATATGATCAGGTATCCTAGTGATCGTTCAAAATTTGAACTGTCATTTCCTCAAATTATTTCCTTTTTCGCTATTTCCTTCGCATCTCCTTCGGAAACCAATGCGCTGGGTTTAATGGAGTTGTTTATCATGAATAAAGAGCAAGGAGCAAATTCGACAGCCGCGTCACGTCGCTTAATACACTTGCCTCCATTAAAAAGAAAAAAAAAACTAAAAATACCACACATTGCTCTTATTTACTGATTAAAAAGTACAGTTTTTGTTTGATACCACGTGCACTAGTCTTTGTATGGAAGATCCTAGATTCCCTTTAGATCATCTTTGTTAATGAGAAGTTAAAAAGTAAACTTGTTTTTGTTGAGAACGCCAGTGGATCAGTTTTGATAAGGAAATAACCCGGTTTGATTGCCTGTTGCCCTAATTTTGATTTAAGGGAGAGGGTGTGGCTTACAGAGGACGACTGTTGATGGCTGTGCAGGCAGAGTTTGGAGAATCTGCATCAGAGGCTGGAATCCGTCAAGTGGAGGTGGAACCAACAGCTCCCATCTCTGACGTAAGTTGGAGTTCTGTAGACAAAATACAGTCTTAGCATCAATCGTAGAAGCACCACGTACTATTGTGGTAAATCTAAGTCTGAATGTGAGTTTGAAAACTGATTTTACCTGGAACGGTTTCATGTGCAAAAGCATCAATTGATGGATGGACAGATGAAGTAATGGATGGTCGATCGTGAGGTCATGACCAAACTGTCGTGGCTCTTTGTGTTACCAAATTTCTTGAGTATGGTGCTCCGCTTGTAATCCGGATCTGGTGCAACATAACCTACGCATCTTATTACAGCCATAGGTGCTGTACTATTTTCACATGGATGACGCTACCAATCATTTTCTTTTTTCAGACTGCAGCTGGCAAAGAAGATCAATTCCAATTATATGCCTGTTTCTACGAAGCAAGCATGATTGAGAGAAAGGTTGGCGACAAGATGATTCAGTTTGAGATGAGCATAGGTAGGTGGACATATGTTTTCATCGTCGTTGATTCACGTTGTGGCTTCTGTGAAATATATTGGCCTGTAGAACCATAACCTTGAATCTTAACAACAAGTGCGTTTCTTCAGGTAACTATGGCAACACAATTGATGGACAAGCTTTACCTGGTGAGGTAGTGGACGAGGTACGAAAAAATGGCGAGAACCCATTCATCCACCCACTTACACCGCCAGTCAGACCAGTGACCAATGACAGACAGTATTACCATATACCCTGGGAGGACTCCAAACCCTGTGCACACGTGAAGTTTACTTGGCAAGATCATCGCAGACGACTGTACAACTCTAATGTGTTGCTGAAAATCTGTGAAAGACTGGTTAGTTTTCTCATGCCTTCTCCAGTGTACTAGTGATTAGCAAGCTTGATGGATTAGGAGTTTTTCGAGAAAGCTGTAGTGTTGCTTTCTGTGTTTACACTAAAGACTGAGATATTGAGAGATTTTTAATTCGGCAATCATACCCTACTGAAATGCTCTTTGAGCTAAGGCCCTTTGCACCGTTCCTCAGATCTATAATTTAAAATATGTCTTCGGGTCTTTAAGTCACCAGGGCTCCCCGGTCGGGTCATCGTTGTGTTCTTACGCTGAATTCTCCAGGATTCCCGTTACGAGGTTTATTGCAGAACTCTTGAGTTCGTAGCCAACACGTAGGGAACTGTCAGGTCATGTTGGATCTGATGGCCAACTTCGCTCAGTGGGTGTTTGAGTACTTTTTTTGATTGGCTGTTGTAAAAACCAAAAACCAAACACCAAAACCAAAGGTATCATTCAGTCAACGTGAAGGAAAATATCACACGGTGCCAGTGGAAACTCTCAGTGAAAACAAACAAACTATCTAAAGCGCGGGAAAACGCGAGTGGCCAGGTCGCGATTGGTGTCAGCTTAGCATCTGATTGGTTGAGAGGGTGGTGCAAGAAAATTTATTGACCAATCACAGAGCGTGACTAAGCGATACCAAAGCAAACTTTCGACGCTCGCTTTAAAATTGCTCTAGGGAGAATTTTCAGAGTAGAAAGGCCTGACCTATCATTGTGCTTAACAGGAGGATGGTTTGACGGACTGTCTGGAGAGAGTCAAGATGGACTTGCCCAACACTTACAGATGGCTAAGTCGAGTTCTTGCAGAACTCATCAACGGCTGCAAGTAAGCAAATCATGCTTCAGCGTAATTTTCCAGTAATATTTCCAGTGAAAACTACGCTCTTTTTCTTAGAGTTTAAAGGAGTCGGTAATGATATTTTAGAGAATTTCAGGGCTGACCTTTGGTTGAAATGTAAGGGCTCGACATTAACTTTCCAACTTACTAGCCAATTGACTAGTGACAACTTAGATTTTACGACAATTTCAGTTTGTTTACTAGCCAAACATGCTTCTGGAAGTCGAAGATCACTAGCTAAAACTGAATTTCGACTAGTCTGTGGCTAGTAGGCTAACGTTAGTGTCGAGCCCTGAATATCGCAAAATCTTTTGGAGACTGAGCAACAACTCATCAGGAACACTAAAACAAAACGAAATATGGATGAGCAAAATTGGGAAAACTTATCAGATTTCACAACAGAAATACTGGTGAGATTCTTGTATGAGCATAGAATTATTCAGCTGAGAAAAAAGAAAAAGAAATATTGCTGTAGTTTTGCACTAAAATTGAATAAACACTGTACCACTTCATCCTCATTTGGAAGGAGGTGTATCCTCAAATTGAACGATCCCGTTCCATTACAGTCAGTATCTCAACTTGGTTAAATCAATGCCATCCGCCTCTCATGTTGGACGCACCAAGCTGGATAAGGAGCGGCTAAAGTTGTGTCAATATGAAGTGGAGTCTGTGTGTCAGTCAGCTCAGGAGCTGAAGGGTAGCACAAGGGATGACAGCCACATCAAGGACAATCTCAAGGCTGCAAATGCGCTTCTCCAAAGGCTGCTCAACATTGCTATTGAGGTATACTGTTTTCTGCTCTCTTAGAAATCCTTTGTAGTTGTGGATGTAGGGGAGGGGTCACTACCACCACCCCTTTCCTCGTCAAATTCTTTTATGCCACGGCATCCTCTGATTTACCAGATTGACTTGACATTTGAGCTGGTCGCTTCCGAGGGGGTTTTTCATCATAACTAATATTTTCCTTCTCTTGAAGAGAAATTGTGTTTATTGCATTGTTTGTCACAGATACTAATTTTCATCCTTAGAACATTTAAGACACCGTTCGTGACCTTAATTTTAAAAGCGAACGAGAGTGTGGAGTAGCAACCGATACTTCGAACATCACTGAACTTTGTTTTACGGGGGGATAACTGAAACAATGTTCTTACTTACCCTTATTAAACCAGTACCAGCAACAGCAAGATCTCTCGGAAAAAAAAAATACTGAGAATCTGATGTAAACAAACAAAACAAAAACGCGAAATGACACTATCGATTTAAAGGGGACTCTGGTGAATGTAAGAGATAACCCTTTCACGCCGAGTTAGATGCTCTGATTCCGTTGTACTGAGGAGCTTGACTCTCTCTTTGTAGCCACAAGAAACAACCCCTGATGTATTCATCTGGATGCTGTGTGGAGGCAAACGAGTGGCGTACACCCGCATTCCCAGTCAGCATATCATCTACTCCTTAGTGGAAGAAGAGAGAGGAAAAGATGCGGGCAGAATGCAAACAGTGTTTCTCAGGGTAATTCAACCCTCTGTTTAGAGCGCTGTTTTGAAAGTAAAAGCCCATTTCCGAATTACCTTTAGCCTCATTTTTAAAGCGAGTCCTGGTGCTCATCCTTTCATATTATTATAAGTTTTCATTCACATGCAAATTAAACTCATGCTCACAAGGGTGGTTGAGCACCAGGCCTCGTTTTGAAAAAGAGGCCAAGGGTAATTCGGAAATGGCCTTTTGAAACGGCCAATCAGAGGAAATGAAAATATCACAGAGAACCAATGACGAGTCATTTGCCGCTTGAGGCGCGGCGAAACGGAAGTGACGAAGGCGTGATTGGTTTTAGTTTTTCCTGATTGGTTGGAAGGGTGGTGCGAGAATTACGGACTAATCACGAACCAAGGATAGTGAAGCAAGACTTATGAATAAACCTTTAGTAGAATGAAGGGCGATCTCACTCGGACATTTAAACCCCGGACGGGTGGTTCTCGGGTCAATTTTCGCTGGGTATGTGCTGCAGGCCTCTCAGAACCTTAACTCCCAGGGGCGTAGCCAGGATTTTTCAAAGGGGGGGTCACAGAGGCTACTCACCATTTACACCGCTGCTCTCCCGCGTGTATCAGCGGGCTCAGTCGTATTATCGCGGCATGAAGGCCCATATCAATGGCTTTTACGGCCAAGATATTGTCATGGCGTTTTCACCACCTGAATACTGTTGGTTGTTTGCTCTAGAGAAGACCGACCAAGGGGGGGTCACGGGCACCCCAGGACCCCCCCCGGCTACGCCCTTGACTCCATTATAGTCTATTTTGTGGCCAACCAAGGACACCATCTCTGTCACTCGGATAGATAGAAAATAGGCTTTTTAATATTGGTTTTGTTGTTTTTTTAATATCTTTTCAGCTTCCTGGCAAGCGTGGTGATGGACCTAAGGGATGGGCTATTCAAGCCAAACTGAATGTCATGATCTGGCTTGGTCTGCACAAACATAAAAAAGATTATCTGAAAGATGCTCCCAAGGGATACCAGACGGTACTGTAGTTTTAGTATTAGCACGTGACACAGTGATGATTTGGATCGATGTCTTTGTCCGAGCAATTGTGCACCCACCCCTTTCACTTATGTGATAGTTGTGTGCAAGATGTTGCCGACAGCAGAGAGAATGTTTGAACTGGATCAATGGTGAAATCTTTTGTATTTTATTCTTGCAGCCAAAGAACGCTCACAAATTGATGGCTCCTCCTCCAAATCACCTCATCTACACAGGTAATGGAGCTTTACTAATTACAGACTATTTCTTTCGCCATGAAAAAAACTTAATCTTGTTGTGAAGTGAAGTAAACGAGACTTTTAAGAGCACATGTTTAATATCAATCCTTTCAGAGAAACAGAAGTTCCTTCTGCGGGCACACACATACCAGGCGAGAAGTTTGATTGGCAGCGATGCCTCTGGACTTTCAGGTAACATACATTCACGTGCAAGGTTTAGATCGATGCCAATATCTGAGCAGCTGCGTGCGCGCCCACCCCTCCCCTAGCCCAACGCCAGCCACAACTTATCAGTTGACTGTTGTTGGGTCAAGGGAGGGGTAAGTGCGTAATTGCTCATATAATGACATGGAACCCACGTTTTGCCAATGGTGGTTGCGTAGCTAAAGGAAGTGAACTTTTGCCAACGTTAGTGGTACAAGATTTAATTTTTCGTGAGACGTTTAACCTAACGCACTTTCAGCTTGCGTAAGACAGAAATTGTTGTTTGTACTAATGTGGTTTCCTTTAATTTGGTCCTCAACTCATCTTTTCATGGCAGATGCCTTTGCCCGAGTAATCTTTACACACCTTGTGGCTGACACCCGAGTGATCTGGGAGACAAGGAGTCCAACCTGGGATCAGATGCTGTTGTTTAGAGACTTAATTCTGTGGGGAGATGTGAATGAAATTGCTGTCAATCCTCCAACCATTGTCGTTGAAGTATTTGACAAAGATATCGGAGTAAGTTATTTGATCAATCTTTTCATCTGTCTTGCCTGCTTGCAGGGCTGCGTGTCTGTCTGTCTGTCTGTCAGTATGTATGTCAGCCTTGCAGCCTTTCTATCTGTCTGGTTGTTTGTCACTTTAGTCTCTCTTTTTGTCTGGTCTGTCTACCTACCTGTCTGTCGGTCTGTCTACCTACCTGTTTGTCTGTCTGTCTACCTACCCACCTGTCTGTCTGTCTTTCTGTCTGTCTACCTATCTGTCTATCTGTCTATCTGTCAGTCTGTCTACCTACCTGTCTGTCTACCTACCTGTCTATCTGTCTGTTTGTCTACCTACCTGTCTGTCTGTCTACCTACCTGTCTGTCTGTCTACCAACCTGTCTGTCTGTCTGTCTACCTACCTGTCTGTCTATCTGTCTGTTTGTCTACCTACCTGTTTGTCTGTCTGTCTACCTACCTGTCTGTTTGTCTGTCTACCTACCTGTCTGTCTATCTGTCTGTTTGTCTACCTACCTGTCTGTCGGTCAGTCTACCTACCCCCCTTCCTGTCTTTCTGTCTGTCTACCTACTTGTGTGTCTATCTGTCTACCTACCTGTTTGTCTGTCTGTCTACCTACCCACCTGTCTGTCTGTCTGTCTATCTGTCAGTCTGTCTACCTACCTGTCTGTCTACCTACCTGTCTATCTGTCTGTTTGTCTACCTACCTGTCTGTCTGTCTACCTACCTGTCTGTCTGTCTACCTACCTGTCTGTCTGTCTACCAACCTGTCTGTCTGTCTGTCTACCTACCTGTCTGTCTATCTGTCTGTTTGTCTACCTACCTGTTTGTCTGTCTGTCTACCTACCTGTCTGTTTGTCTGTCTACCTACCTGTCTGTCTATCTGTCTGTTTGTCTACCTACCTGTCTGTCGGTCAGTCTACCTACCCCCCTTCCTGTCTTTCTGTCTGTCTACCTACTTGTGTGTCTATCTGTCTACCTACCTGTTTGTCTGTCTGTCTACCTACCCACCTGTCTGTCTGTCTTTCTGTCTGTCTACCTATCTGTCTGTCTATCTGTCTGTCTGTTTACCTACCTGTCTGTCTACCTACCTATCTGTCTGTTTGTCTACCTACCTGTCTGTCTGTCTACCTACCTGTCTGTCTACCTACCTGTCTATCTGTCTGTTTGTCTACCTACCTGTCTGTCTGTCTACCTACCTGTCTGTCTATCTGTCTGTTTGTCTACCTACCTGTCTGTCGGTCAGTCTACCTACCCCCCTTCCTGTCTTTCTGTCTGTCTACCTACTTGTGTGTCTATCTGTCTACCTACCTGTTTGTCTGTCTGTCTACCTACCCACCTGTCTGTCTGTCTTTCTGTCTGTCTACCTATCTGTCTGTCTATCTGTCTGTCTGTTTACCTACCTGTCTGTCTACCTACCTATCTGTCTGTTTGTCTACCTACCTGTCTGTCTGTCTACCTACCTGTCTGTCTATCTGTCTGTCTACCTACCTGTCTGTCTGTCTGTCCATCTACCTGTCTGTCCATCTACCTGTCTGTCCATCTACCTGTCTGTCCATCTACCTGTCTGTCCATCTGTCTGTTTGTCTACCTACCTGTCTGTCTTTCTATCTGTCAGTCTGTTTGTCTACCTACCTGTTTGTCTGTTTGTCTACCTACCTGTCTGTTTTTCGGTCGGTCGGTCTGTCTACCTACCTGTCTGTCAACCTACCTGTTTGTCTGTCTGTCTGTCAAGGTAATTTAGGCTTTATCAGATGAGTTGATAATGTAAATTGGCCACAGTAACGAGTTTCAAAGCTAATTTACATTATCAATAAGGCAAATTTGCATTATCAACTCAGTTTGTAAAACCTAAATTACCTTGGTTTACTCCACCCACCGACATATCAGCATAGTTTCTGTGGAAACTTACCCTCTTTATTCATTTGTCTCTCTGTCAGCTTATTAGTTGGTTAGCTAGTCAGTTATTTAGCCAGCCTTAGTTTTAGTCACATAGGTCCATCAGTAAAACTTGATAAGTTTTTTAGCTAGTGAATCTTACAATTTGCTCTCAAAACTCTCGCTAGGGTGACTCAGAGTTCATTGGTCGTGCGCTGGCCAGACCAATAGTAAAGATGGCCTGTGAACCTTACGAGAAGCCGTTCTTCCCGCCAGCATTGGAGTGGTTCCAGATTTTCAGAGGAGAGGAGAAAGCTGGAGAATTATTAGCTGCTTTTGAACTCCTCCAGGTAAATTAGTTCACCTTTTCATCTGCTAATCAAATTCTGTTCAAGAATCGGGTCTGGTGCATGCGCTGTGACTAAGTTTACAATATGGTGGATTGAAAATGAACAGCACAGCTATCAAGATGCTCTTCATATCTTGAAATCGCACCAGTCTGCTTCGCTTGTTACGAAAAATTTTTTTCCTAAACGATGAAGAGCTGAAGTGGTCAACATTTGGACAGCATTTGGAGTTCACCTGCATTGCCACAATACAGTCCTTTCGTTGGGGTCTGGGATAGAATAATTCATAGGAACACTTCATTTTGGTGTACCTGACATGACCAAGCATTCAGCGCCAAGTTGCCATGTGTCGCTCAATTGGCGCAACAGTGTAGGATCCAGGATTGCATTTCGTTTCCTTTATCTCTTTCTCTGATTGGTTTAGAAAGTTCCATCACCCCTCTCAACCAATCAAATTCAAAGCTGGAACCAAGCGCGTCGTAGTCGCGCGCGTTTTCCCGCGCTTCAGGCAGTTTGTTTGTTTATTTTGTTAAATCTGAGTTTTCATAGATTCTTTTTGATATCTGACTTGTGTTTGGTCGTTGTGATTATCGTTGATTTGGCTTAGAACACTCAATCGGAAAGTACGCCATTTGCATGCCACGGTTAATGGAGTTAGGCAGTGATTGAGTGAAAATCTCAAATCCAATCTTTCTTATTTTCTCCTTTCAGCTATCTGAGGGTACATGCTTCTTGCCCACTGAAGTCGAACCTGTCAACACTCCTGATGGACCAATAACACCCGTCCCTGATGGGATCAGGCCCGTTATGAGGAAACACAGGATCGAGGTACTATAAGGTTGCATTTACATTTCTGAAGAGAAAGTCGTTGTTGTGGTTGATTTTGTGACATAAATTAGGAACCAAGAAATGAATCAATATCACTTGGTAGAAAGGATGGTATAGATTTGTAAGTGTGTGAGAGTGGGAAGTGGTATCGGAGTAAAAGAGAGAAGGAACGAATTGTCGAATTCATGCCCTCATGGACGGAATGACCTATGACGGAACGACCAACTGGAAACAACTGACTGACTGACTGACTGACCGACCATTCCCGGACCGTCCAACCAACTGACCATCCGACCGACCTATTGACTTACCAATCTAGTGAAGAAAGAACGACTGGTTTACCGACTAACCGACTTCATGACTTAAGAAACGAACGTAGTTATTATCCTAGCGTATGAACTGTATCTTTCCTTATTCCTTAGGCTTTGTTCTGGGGCGTCCGTGAGATGAAGAGGATAAATCTAACCACAGTGGACAGACCTCAAGTGGACATCGATCTTGCTGGACATGTCATACAATCTACTGTCATCACAAATGCTAAGAAAAATCCCAACTTCCAGAACCCGGTCATCTTCTTTGATGTGGTAAGAGGGCGGTGTTTTTACTGAAAGTCTAATTTTATTCATCACATGCCTCTTCTTTGATAATATCCATTTTCTATCGTGTGTTATCAACAGTTAGTTTTTACGTATATGAGCACGATCCTTCGCAGTAAAGCACTATTTGAGCAATAGTGAAAATCAGACCTGAAAAAAATTTCAGGCCTGTACGGGATTCGAACCACTGACCTCTGCGATACTAGTGCAGCGCTCTACCAATTGAGCTAACAAGCCAACTGGGAGCAGGCCATCAAATTAATTCGACATAAACCCGTAGATGATAAATCAAACAACAACAAACATATGAAACATATGTGTGAACTGCGGTTATGAGACGTATATGAGCACGATCCTTCGCAGTAAAGCACTATTTGAGCAATAGTGAAAATCAGACCTGAAAAAAATTTCAGGCCTGTACGGGATTCGAACCACTGACCTCTGCGATACTAGTGCAGCGCTCTACCAATTGAGCTAACAAGCCAACTGGGAGCAGGCCATCAAATTAATTCGACATAAACCCGTAGATGATAAATCAAACAACAACAAACATATGAAACATATGTGTGAACTGCGGTTATGAGACGTATATGAGCACGATCCTTCGCAGTAAAGCACTATTTGAGCAATAGTGAAAATCAGACCTGAAAAAAATTTCAGGCCTGTACGGGATTCGAACCACTGACCTCTGCGATACTAGTGCAGCGCTCTACCAATTGAGCTAACAAGCCAACTGGGAGCAGGCCATCAAATTAATTCGACATAAACCCGTAGATGATAAATCAAACAACAACAAACATATGAAACATATGTGTGAACTGCGGTTATGAGACGTATATGAGCACGATCCTTCGCAGTAAAGCACTATTTGAGCAATAGTGAAAATCAGACCTGAAAAAAATTTCAGGCCTGTACGGGATTCGAACCACTGACCTCTGCGATACTAGTGCAACGCTCTACCAATTGAGCTAACAAGCCAACTGGGAGCAGGCCATCAAATTAATTCGACATAAACCCGTAGATGATAAATCAAACAACAACAAACATATGAAACATATGTGTGAACTGCGGTTATGAGACGTATATGAGCACGATCCTTCGCAGTAAAGCACTATTTGAGCAATAGTGAAAATCAGACCTGAAAAAAATTTCAGGCCTGTACGGGATTCGAACCACTGACCTCTGCGATACTAGTGCAGCGCTCTACCAATTGAGCTAACAAGCCAACTGGGAGCAGGCCATCAAATTAATTCGACATAAACCCGTAGATGATAAATCAAACAACAACAAACATATGAAACATATGTGTGAACTGCGGTTATGAGACGTATATGAGCACGATCCTTCGCAGTAAAGCACTATTTGAGCAATAGTGAAAATCAGACCTGAAAAAAATTTCAGGCCTGTACGGGATTCGAACCACTGACCTCTGCGATACTAGTGCAGCGCTCTACCAATTGAGCTAACAAGCCAACTGGGAGCAGGCCATCAAATTAATTCGACATAAACCCGTAGATGATAAATCAAACAACAACAAACATATGAAACATATGTGTGAACTGCGGTTATGAGACGTATATGAGAACGATCCTTCGCAGTAAAGCACTATTTGAGCAATAGTGAAAATCAGACCTGAAAAAAATTTCAGGCCTGTACGGGATTCGAACCACTGACCTCTGCGATACTAGTGCAGCGCTCTACCAATTGAGCTAACAAGCCAACTGGGAGCAGGCCATCAAATTAATTCGACATAAACCCGTAGATGATAAATCAAACAACAACAAACATATGAAACATATGTGTGAACTGCGGTTATGAGACGTATATGAGCACGATCCTTCGCAGTAAAGCACTATTTGAGCAATAGTGAAAATCAGACCTGAAAAAAATTTCAGGCCTGTACGGGATTCGAACCACTGACCTCTGCGATACTAGTGCAGCGCTCTACCAATTGAGCTAACAAGCCAACTGGGAGCAGGCCATCAAATTAATTCGACATAAACCCGTAGATGATAAATCAAACAACAACAAACATATGAAACATATGTGTGAACTGCGGTTATGAGACGTATATGAGCACGATCCTTCGCAGTAAAGCACTATTTGAGCAATAGTGAAAATCAGACCTGAAAAAAATTTCAGGCCTGTACGGGATTCGAACCACTGACCTCTGCGATACTAGTGCAGCGCTCTACCAATTGAGCTAACAAGCCAACTGGGAGCAGGCCATCAAATTAATTCGACATAAACCCGTAGATGATAAATCAAACAACAACAAACATATGAAACATATGTGTGAACTGCGGTTCTGAGACGTATATGAGCACGATCCTTCGCAGTAAAGCACTATTTGAGCAATAGTGAAAATCAGACCTGAAAAAAATTTCAGGCCTGTACGGGATTCGAACCACTGACCTCTGCGATACTAGTGCAGCGCTCTACCAATTGAGCTAACAAGCCAACTGGGAGCAGGCCATCAAATTAATTCGACATAAACCCGTAGATGATAAATCAAACAACAACAAACATATGAAACATATGTGTGAACTGCGGTTATGAGACGTATATGAGCACGATCCTTCGCAGTAAAGCACTATTTGAGCAATAGTGAAAATCAGACCTGAAAAAAATTTCAGGCCTGTACGGGATTCGAACCACTGACCTCTGCGATACTAGTGCAGCGCTCTACCAATTGAGCTAACAAGCCAACTGGGAGCAGGCCATCAAATTAATTCGACATAAACCCGTAGATGATAAATCAAACAACAACAAACATATGAAACATATGTGTGAACTGCGGTTCACACATATGTTTCATATGTTTGTTGTTGCTTAAATTAATGCAGTTTGTTAAACCAATCGCTCTTTGCAATACCTATCACACTTTTTCAGGGAAAAAAAAAACTGTCAATCTTTGTATAAACAGACCACTCAGCTGACCATTTCACTTTGTCTTTGCATTTGTTGTGCTTTAGAATAAATTCGTTTCGATGGTCGGAGGGCAAGTTGGTAGAGGAATTGTTTTAGCGGAATACTGTAATCATGGATAAGCAAAGAACGTTTGATCTAGGCTAAGGAGGGATCTTTTTACCACGGCGTAA